CCCGCGCGAAGAAGTCGAAATTCCTGCGCGCGGCCTAACGCGAGTAGAGATTCGATCTTTGAGCGAGTAAAACGCGTTACATACAGTGCGAAAAACATAGACACAGTATATCTAGACCGAGCGTTTGCCTTTATATAAGGAATGGCGGTAAAGATACACGTAGAAAAGGATATACTCTGTTTCGTGCCACCTTCTTTCTGGCTCCCACTCCTCAACACTCGATCTAGATATACTATGTCTATGGCGAAGAAATAGCGAGATTAAGAGACGGTTTATAGGCGACATAATTACGGAACGAGTTCGGAAAGACGAGAAAAGACGCGATAGTGTCTTACCGCAAGGACAATCAAGGTTTTGAACACAATCCGGATAAGTGTGAGGGTGAGTGCGAGAAACACCGGGCAATAGAAGCCCTTCCGACCGGGTCAGGGGTCAGGGTCTCACGGAACATTCAACTCATCTCAGAACCTCCACCCGACGCACATCGGCGATCGGAGAGGCGAGAACATTTTTGGACAATATTCACTTTAAAAATCTAATAACAGCATACTAAAGTTTATAACTAAAGTTAAAAAATACATTTTACAAAAAGATTGAAAGTGTTTTGTTTTGTTTAATTCATTGATCCAATTTTAATGTTACAAAACAAACGTTTGATCTAATCAACTTTTAATATCCTCTATATATAAAAAACCAGCAGAAATTTTCCAGAGATTATCAACTTCATTACGTATTGCATATTTATTATATGACATCCATATAATTCATTTACATAATAACTTTGCAGAATTGATCTACCGAGCGGCTCAATGTCTATGCATATACTCGATAATATTGTAAGCGTATCGTAACACTATTATAAGTCTACCATTGCGTTCCATATATATTACTCCGCCTTACGATGTCTCTTTATGTGTTAAAATTTTGATTATTTTTATTGATAAGGACCCGAAGTGGGCCGAAACGTTTGGTTTAGTTAATTTATATTATTTATTTATTAATTTATATTATGTTCATTAACATCGTTTCTTAAAAACATCACACATTTATTACGCTCTAAGTATTGCGTTCGGGCTCCAATTAGCCTTTCCCTTTTTTATTGATTGAGATGTTTAAGTTGGCCACTTAAGTTAAACAATTTTTAGATGTTTTTTGAATTATTGGATCTAATTTTGAGTATATTGGTTATTTTTGAGGATGTAGTTAATGAACTCGTTTTTAAGAATTATACAAAACGTCAAATATGAGTAGTAAACAAGTTACATAACTATGTCCACAAAAAATAATCAAAGTACTTTGACATTGGATCAAATAATTCAAAAAACATCAAATTTATTGCAGTGTAACGTAATTACTTTTGCATGCAAAGTTATTATGTAAATGAATTATATGCACACGTATTGTATAATAAATACGCAATACGTAATCTCTACGAACTATCAGAATATACGATCTCCACAATGACAGCTACTCAGTGAAGTAAGCACAGCGAAAGAATTAGTCAGCATCGCGGAAAAGAGGCAACAATGTCAATAACATGCCTTTTTTAGAGAGGGATAATATGATTACTTACTGCAGGATGTTGCAAATTGACAACTCTTTCCATAGCGATAAATAATATATAATTTGCAGCGCTTAGTGAGCTAGCAATTCCATAAACAGAATGAGCAACAGGAATACCTCTTCGCAAAATGGAATTATCTTGAATATCATCAATTCTATAAAAAAAATAAAATAAATTATAATCGTATAAAAATATATAGAGAATTGCTTTTTTAATTAATATAAATTCAATTTTATACTTGCAATATAAAAATAATAACATGGAAATAAATATAATGTGAAAACATAAGGATTATATACTGAAATAAGACACCATAGACATAGTATATCTAGACATAGCATAGTGAAAGAGTACGCTATGCTACGTGCGAGCGAGAGAGAACGTAAGGGGCACGAAACAGAGTATATCCTTTTCTGCGTGCATCTTTACCCCCACTCCTTAAATAAAAGCAAACGCTCGTTCTAAATATACTATGTCTATGTAAGGGCCCGGGCACATAAAAAAACTTAAGCAGTAAGACTTAAGACTTAAGAATTTCAACCATACGGAATTTTCAGCGTAGCTTACGTTTCAATATGGCTGCCTTACTGTTCGACCGTGATTGGTCAATTCGCTTACGTCTTAAGAGAATGCCGGATACCGACAGAATATGAATATTAGTTAAAATGCAAAATATTTTTGTTGATTATAGATATCAACAAATCCTTTTCCATAATTAAAGTATACATAATAACGGAGTGCGGGGTTTATGATTTCATATGAAAAGTGAAAAAAATTAAAAAATTACAGTTTTGTTATCGGCTTCTGCCGTCACCATTTACTTAATATAAAAAACCTGCAACCTGCACGTGCCTAACAAGTGGACTCCGCACTCGGCATTTTATCAAAGAGTCTCAGTGAACTTCGAGAAGTGAGTTTAAAAGCTTTATAAAAAAGATTTTACTATGCAAAATTTTGCACACCGAACACAGTAACATCAATGTTATTTTGATAATAAGAGCAATAGGCTCAGGGTAAGAACAATTAAGAGGATGCCGGACCGTCCCGTTTTACCGACCATAATAATTATATATTTGCTTAATATAAAAGTTTTGCAGTTTGTATGTACAAAATAAGATAGGTCCCCACTCGGAAATGCATGAAAGAATATAAGTGAACGTTTAAAAATTTATTTAGAATTAAATTAAAATTTTATTTAGAAGTATAGTAAAAAACATTTCGGTGTGCAAAATTTTGCATTGGATTTCTCATTTCATGTAACCAATAAAAAAATTTCGGTCTGCAAAGTAAATTATTATGGCCGGTAAAAAGTGGGAAAACCGACAGATAAGAGTCAAGATGTGGGTATAGATGTATGAATTTATTATTGTTAAATTTTGTTAACTAATGTGCATTAAAAATGTACATTTTGAACTATTTTTTGGTTCATCTTCAACATGGATATAAATATATAGAAATTAAATTGGAATTTTAAAACTTGATATATACAACATTTGCAGTTGCAATCAAATTTCAAATTACTCTTATCTGCCAGTTTTCCATTTTAATGTTATTTTGACTTTACGCTTAAAACTTTTGGCTTTTGGCAATAACTAATGTTATTTGGCTTTGGGCTATAAGTTAATTGATGATTAAATTATAATCTAAAATCTAAAGCCAAAATATATTTGAAAAACAATTTATATATATATTATATTTGAAATCAACAATTAATGTAAAAAACAGACCCAATGTTTCTAATATCATTTATCATTTTGTTATGTCATTGATGAGATATCATCAAAGACCGATGGTTTTATGGGATTTGACATGACTGGATAAAAACTCACATGACGTAACATGACAGATTTGATTGGCTGTGCCATTTGTCACTATTTGTTCTCGTTCACCTCATGAATGGGCATTGATGGCTCTATGGTATCCTCTCTTCATTATTTTTTTGCTTCATGACATAGCCGCGTAGGCGCATTCGCGTCGAGGCGACAAGGTTTCCTCGCTATGTAATATGTGAGCCCGGTCGAAGCTCGGCGGCCTCGGTAGCGCTCGCTCGGCGCTCGGCACGTTTTCGGACAGTTTCGTAAGACGCGTCGTCGTCGTCGTCGTCGTCGTCGGACAACGGTAGCGTGAGTACTCCGACGTCGATTGACGTCATCCCGGTTGACGGCCGCTCCGAAATATAATGCGCGCCGGTGGAAAGAGTGCTTTACGTGGCACAGTTCAAAGATTTTGTTCCTTTGTGCGAACAATGGTTGCAAAAAAGAACCTCGCGAAAGTCTTAATTAATTATCTCCGGACGAGAATCATCTCGAAGATGAGATGGAATTTCCCGATTGTCATTGTTTCGTAAGATTCCTGATTCCATGTTTCTCTTCTGCGTTGCGACAGCGAACGATGACTGGCCTATCTTCCACTATTCATTTAAATTTTATGTTTTGTTGACGTATGTTTTCTTCCGCGTATTAAAATCTATATAAACGATTCGTAAAAATTGGCCGACACGTTGCTGTTGATCTAATTCTAAAATGCTAACTCGAGCCAAGTGATATTGTTTACTTGTAGTCAGAGATGTAAAAAAACCGGTTTTTTTTTAATAGAAAAGAACAGTTGAAAAAAAACGTGTTTTTTTTTCACTGGAAAAGAAAAAAATTTTGTTTTTTCCGAAGCTTGTTTTTTTTTTTTCATAAAAAAACCGATTTTTATGAAAAAAAAAAAACATTTTGGTTTTTTTTCTATTTACATCTCTATTTATTGGAACATTACGTAAATATATTCGATCTCTTAGATTCAAATGGCAGGAAGCAGTCCGCTTGTCTAATACAAAGAAATAATGTTTCATCGTTATTCATTCGCTGTTACAAATTTCGCGAAGACATTCCTTTGATATCGAGCTCAATTTTGAACTTGTCGAAAAACATGTTTGCCAAAGAAACCGTTTGTAAGATATTCGCGCGATTATTAATGCAGCGGCACATTCTTCCACGAACACGCCGTACGTTCCACTTTACTTTCCTCTTACGTTTCGCCTTCCTCAAGCCCGCCTCTTGTTAATTCATGCTAGATTGCTCATCGACCGCTTGTTCGAAACGATCGTTCGCCGATGGAATTTTACGCCGAGATGAGATGAATATTCCCGACGTGCTTGCCATTTATTCGAGAGAGGCTAATTATCGTACTGTTAATTAACACGTAGAAAACTCGTGGATCTTTTCGTTAATCGGTCATCGAGAACGAAATCATATAAATACAATCGAGCCGCCTTGACGTAGAACGTCTTGGAAGCGTCGTCTATGAATGAATCTATTCTCCAGTCAAACTGCAAAGTCAAATCGAGAATACAAGGCAGATTGCAACCGAAGAATTCAATCGGTTTGCTACATCGCATCGGATTAACGAGTGTTTCATAGTCGATTGCCTCGCGCTCGGAAAACCCGTGGAGCGAAGAATGTCGGTCACATGTTGATATTTTTGGAGCGTTTTGCTGATACATCGGAAAAAGGCATTTACGACTTTTGGACGCGTCGTTATTTACGATCTAATTGAGCTAATTAAATCGGCAAGCGTAAACTTCCTCGCGATAATCGTTAAACAATAGGCCATTGTAATGATGATTATAAATGTTAATTTCTATTAACGTGATTAATAGCCGATATAATATATTTGCTAAAAACAAAGGAAGTAATATAGCACACTCTTTTATAATGCGAGAGATATATACGGGCTTTACTGTATTTATAGATATATTAATTATTTATGATTTATCGACCCATTCCTCTTCGGAGATTTGCCCCAAATCTAATAGGAAATATATCGACAGGTATCCGGGATTGCAGAAATGTCAAAGAAGCCCAGCTGTAAGATGCTGGTCCATCAGGTGTCGGCCGTGTTGCCGGACGACAGGCCAATAACTGCCATTAGCGTTGTGGAAGATGTAGAAAAGTGTCCGCCGAATTTCACAGTGGTATGGGACCGATGTGTTAATGTACTTAACTTATCTCTGATATATATCCGCATCTGTCGTCGCTAGATAAATAGAGATACGGTTGCATTTCGTTAAGGTATCGAGAACTTATGACCAGGACACCGACGCCGATTTATGGAGAGAAAGCGGTCTGTTCATCAAGAAGAAGGGTAGATACATCTGCTTCTCGAAAACCGAAGGTCCGCCCGGTTGTGTGGTCGAAGATATCGTGGTGATTAACGAACGAGACACTCCGCCGGAAGGTTACAACATGATCTCGTATACCGTGGATTCGAGTAAGTTTCTTTCTCTCTCTAGTGCGTTGCTACATTTATCTATAAAATATATAAATTTATAAGCTCTTTGAAAAAATAAATTGCAGGGCAGAAGGCCTGGCGGAAGAAACAAGTGTGCTATAAAATTAGAAATAAGAACTCGTGCGCAAAAGCAGTAACGGATATCATAATATGCAGTAGGATAATCCACAAGGATTCCAAATTGGCTCCTATTGGATTTTCCGCTGCCGGGTACGTCGTTTTTAATATCGCCAATTCAACTCTTAACTTTTTGGACTTTTAATATTGTAGTTGATTTTACGTTAAATTTAGCATTCTAATAATTTAATTATCTGCATTTATCAAATAATAATTTATAACCAAATAAATATAATAAGTGATCTATATAATATTTCCCAAAAATAAATGTTTAAAAAAAAGTATAATAATAGAATATTTATATTTACTATCAGAAATATATAGAGTGCAAAAAGCTCATTTTTCAATATCTTGAGATTGCAATATTTTTAAGATATTTTCTTCTTTTCAGTGTTATAAACGGTGTTCGCGTATGCTATAAGACAGTAGATATCGTAAACGCAAACTCGGACTCGCAATCATACGTTAATATAGAGTAAGTTACTTTTTTTACATTAAGCGCGCAAGACGTATTCAATTTCATCTTATATATATTTTACGATATATTTTTAGCTTACTACAAAATTCTTCCCCGAATCCTTCGAACGGATCTCCTCACAGACCAGCCCCCGAAAGGCCTCCGAAACCAAAGTTCTCGCCAAAACCACCAGCTAACGGGATTTATCCGCAAATTGGTGGCGCAGCTAATAAGGACAATGACGAATCCGGCGATCGAGATTACGAAGTTCTGAGTCTTAACGCGAGAATCAGGCCCACGAGGCCGGCGCCTCAACCGCCCACGTCCGCCCTGCCCGCTGTCGGTTCGACGACCGTTTACGGCACACTTCCGGGTTCGTCCGATCTCGATGGAGTTCCATTCGCACTTAATCCTCGTCTTATCATTAATCATCCTGATTCTGCAAGTGTGAGTACGATAATTTGGGAAATAAAGTTATTAATTAACACTATAATTTACTTTCTGATAATATTTCTTCTGTTTCGACAGAACAAACTTCCTGTTATCAAAGTGTGGACACAAAGGGATTTGGACAGAGAGGTACGTTGTACTAAATTTCTTTTTGACGATTATTTTACGATAAATATAAATCGATTGTGTTCTCTGTTACAGTTCTTCTACGACTTCCGTGCGGAGAGGGAGACTTGAAGAACACGATGTTTGTACCAAAACTAACTCTGCGAGTTTTCGTGAGCGAGCCCTTCCTGCCGTTATATTCGTACATGTTTGTATCCGATACAATATTAGCCAAACAAGCGCAAATGGAGTGCCTGAACGAATGATTTATACATAGACGAACGCGCGAGAGAATAAAAACCGCACGACGCTTAAAAAATTGGGGATTGTGTACTGCTCTTAAGAAGGAATAAGATAAAACTTACTCGATGTACGCGTTTCTTCTTCTCACGCCCCACGTTTAAATTTTGATACCGGTGATAGCGTTGTCATATTTTTATAAACTTGCGTTATCTTTTAGATAGATAGTAGAGATTATATATGTAAAAAATATATGTACACACGCGCAAGAAATTTATATTATAATTAGAGATCTTTTATGTATCTCACAAATATCGCATATCGCTTCTAAACTATTGTGCGCACGAATAAATGCATAACTTTATTGACAGTGGCAGCGCGTTTTCGCCGCATATTTAGTGCTGAATACGGCGATACAAAACGTAAGTGCGTGGCGAGAGTGCGCACTACGAAAGCCATTTAATTTAATTTCCTCCTCTCATCTTTTTTGACGCGATATATGTATATTATTTTTTATACGGAAGTTCGAATGTTTATCCTGCATTTTTTTTCATCAAACTTCGCTTTTCCCACTTTCCCTTTTTTATGTTAATAAAATATATATTACAATATTTTTTCTTTATATACTCACGTTTGTATTTATATAATTTCATCTAAAAGCATATATGTTTGTGTATTGAAGAAAAAATCATGTCTTCGATGTCGACGAAACGCGACGTTAGATCCTATTCTTCCAATTGAAACCTTTCATCGTTCTATTCTTCCATATTAAATTCGTACCTTACGGTAAGATTCCTCTCGAACATCACATGTGTACGCGAATGTAATTTAAGATAGAGAGATAATATCCGTGTATGTTAAACAATAGTTTTAATAAAAGATGACGTAGGTGAGAAGTAAACAACCAAACATATCTTCGCATTCATTAAATGAAAATCATGTAAGGTAATGAAAGATATAATAGTTCTCGTTTCGAGATAACAATTTTTATAAATAAAAGTATCGTACCAAAAAAAAATCGAGACAAGTCATATTTTTTCACAGATTACAAAGACTTATAAATAATTTCACAGCAGAAACAGTTAAATCAACATATTATAAACATCTTATGAGAAAAGATCAAATAAGTTAATCACTGCAAGTATGACTTCAAGATCTATAAAGGACTCGCGTGTGTACATTTTATATTAAAAATCGTATAATTTATGATATTACATACGATATTAGAGTAAGGCAGAAAACGAAATTGTGTGCTTTTCTACCTGCTAGATAGTTTCATTAAGGATTTTCTATTCCTCGATCATGATATGTTTAAAATTCTAGTTTGCGTTTCAAAAACGAGAATCATTCACTGTATACTAAAACAGCGGCCAAAAATATTTAATTAATCCTTAGCGAATTAAAGGATGTTTTAAATTTTGTCTTTATAGGTGAGTTATCAGCCGATACGGCGGGACGAAAGATATTTTTGCCCGGCAGGACATTGGCCAGACGTCAGACAAACGGGCCGGTCCAATGTCTTACGTGCGTCGTCGTAGCATTGCCGGCCGTCGTTTGCACCCCGTGCCTCTCCAGCACTGCCGTAGCCTTAATTCTGCTCTTGTATTTTACATCCTTCGGTTTCAGCATACTCTTATGATTGCTCAGTAGCCTCGAAGGCGTGAGGATCGACTTGTTGCTATATATTACAATATTTTTTCTTTATATACTCACGTTTGTATTTATATAATTTCATCTAAAAGCATATATGTTTGTGTATTGAAGAAAAAATCATGTCTTCGATGTCGACGAAACGCGACGTTAGATCCTATTCTTCCAATTGAAACCTTTCATCGTTCTATTCTTCCATATTAAATTCGTACCTTACGGTAAGATTCCTCTCGAACATCACATGTGTACGCGAATGTAATTTAAGATAGAGAGATAATATCCGTGTATGTTAAACAATAGTTTTAATAAAAGATGACGTAGGTGAGAAGTAAACAACCAAACATATCTTCGCATTCATTAAATGAAAATCATGTAAGGTAATGAAAGATATAATAGTTCTCGTTTCGAGATAACAATTTTTATAAATAAAAGTATCGTACCAAAAAAAAATCGAGACAAGTCATATTTTTTCACAGATTACAAAGACTTATAAATAATTTCACAGCAGAAACAGTTAAATCAACATATTATAAACATCTTATGAGAAAAGATCAAATAAGTTAATCACTGCAAGTATGACTTCAAGATCTATAAAGGACTCGCGTGTGTACATTTTATATTAAAAATCGTATAATTTATGATATTACATACGATATTAGAGTAAGGCAGAAAACGAAATTGTGTGCTTTTCTACCTGCTAGATAGTTTCATTAAGGATTTTCTATTCCTCGATCATGATATGTTTAAAATTCTAGTTTGCGTTTCAAAAACGAGAATCATTCACTGTATACTAAAACAGCGGCCAAAAATATTTAATTAATCCTTAGCGAATTAAAGGATGTTTTAAATTTTGTCTTTATAGGTGAGTTATCAGCCGATACGGCGGGACGAAAGATATTTTTGCCCGGCAGGACATTGGCCAGACGTCAGACAAACGGGCCGGTCCAATGTCTTACGTGCGTCGTCGTAGCATTGCCGGCCGTCGTTTGCACCCCGTGCCTCTCCAGCACTGCCGTAGCCTTAATTCTGCTCTTGTATTTTACATCCTTCGGTTTCAGCATACTCTTATGATTGCTCAGTAGCCTCGAAGGCGTGAGGATCGACTTGTTGCTGAGGCCGGTTGCTTCGAGGAAATGATCGTATCCGCTGGTTCCGGTTTCGCTATTACTATTACCGTTACCGATAGCAGAAATATTGTTGTTGTCTTTGGCGACGCTGTTTTGGTCGACGTTGTTGAGCCCGTTGTAACCTAATCTCTCGGATCCGTCGCCTTCGGGCCGGTCGGGATCGTCCGATAGGTCGCATTCGTCCAGATTGAACTCCTCAAAGTTTTGCCGAATGTCAAAATCCTGAAAAAAATAATTTAAGATTTATTTTTTAAAAACATACTTACATACCGAATCTTATGATATATTTTTTTCCGCGAGGGATCTTACCTGATCGAGTTCGTTGTGGCGTTCCTTTGGGCGATTTCTATCTTTCATCTGTTCTTCAGGATCACCGATTTTGAATTCCTCGAAATGCCGAACGATATTTGTGACTCTGGCAGCATTTTTCGACTGATCCCGCTCTTTTTGTCTCACTTGAAAGGACGAGCGCACGTGATTGAATCTATTCTTCCAGAATCCACCGCCTTCGCGACCTTTCGTCTCTCTCGTCGAACTCCTGGTCGAACTCTTTGCCTCTTCCAGGTTCAAGTTCCTCGCTGCCTTCGACGATACCAATCCCAAAATACCTTTTTTCGTAGAATCCACACCTCCCGTAGAGTCTTGCTGTCTTTTTTCGTCGATTAGAAATGACGGACTCGGGATCTTCTTCAAGATTAACGTATTATTGCGAAACTGTGGCTTTGGTGGCAGTGCCGGTGGCGTTCTGGGCGGCGTCGGCGACGACATTGTTACTTCCGGCAATGATTCTATGTCTTCGTAATCCAAGTTCCTAGCAATGGTTAGTCCTCGTGCAGACATTTGCAGACAAGTTTTCTCCTCGATCCTTTCCATTTTTAAGGGAGGATTATTCGGTTGAGATTTCACCAAAGCCTTTCTCGTTTCTTCGACATCGATCTTTGGCTCGATGATGACCAGCGGAATCGCCTTGGAGTCGTCTTTGGAAACGTCATCCGATTCCTTTTGAACGATTCTCATGCCAAACTCATCCTCGGACGCGCTCGTCTCGTTTTCCACGGGTTCCTCCTCTCTCGGAGAATCTTTACTGTCCGCGGCGGATTCCTCAGAATTTCTCCTCTCCATTTCCGAACCCACCGACTCAATATCAGATAATCTAGCCGGCTGGAAATGTACGATCCTGCCGCGGTGCTTGAATCGACGCGGTACCGAGAGCATCGAGTTTTCCTCCTCTTCCATGTCCTGCAGCAAGATCTGATTCACGCACTCGAGCACGGAGTTGTGGTTACTATTTGGTCGGTATGTGCTATGTCTAAACACGTCGTCATTCAATCGGTCCTCGTCATGATCGCTATACCAATTACTGCTAGTATCCTCTATCGTCAGCTCGGGTGTCTCGATCTTTACATCATTGCTAGAAAATGTTAAAAGGGGATTATCTTTCAAAAATTTGAAAATATAAATTGGATATAATGATATGAATATTTAATGAAAGTATCTTCTAATGGAGAAAAGATTGTTTGCAACGTACACATTATTGTTATTGCTATGATCATCTTCTGTCCTCAACAACTCCGTCTGCTGTAGATTCCTCTCGTTCACTTCGTTGTAGGCATTAACGTAAATCGGTTCCTCATTCTCTTCTCGATTATCCATTTTTGCGTCTTGGTTCTCATCCTCTGAGACAAAGTTACAGTCCATCCCGTCGTCCTTGCTTTCTGTCCTCGCGATACTGACTACCTCGACTATCACATCAGAACCTTTGGACGACGTCTTTTGACCCTTCGCCCTGCGAAGGGACGTCCTTCTCTTCGTCGTCGTCGTATCGCCTTCTTCTATCATGTTCTCCTCGTTTTCATCCGCGATCATGGTCGTCTCGTTCTCGCTGTCGGTCACCGTCGTCGGCGTACACCTGCTCGAGCACTTGTTCAGGGTCGAGCCAGGCGACACGTCCGTACTCTCGCCCTCGCAGAAGCCCTCCGTGCTGAGCAACGAAGGACTGCCCTCCGTCGTCGTGGTAATGATGGACGCATCTGTGTTCTCACTACTGGTTAAACTGGCTTTGGAGATGTCACTGCCGGCAAAACTGTGTGTCTTTCTCACGCTATTGCGGTTTAGCTCGTCCAAGATGCCAGATGATGTCGGGTTCAGTCGCGTTATTATCTCGCACTTCAAGCTCGCGATATCTTTGCCGATACCGCTTTCCTGCAGTGTCTCTCCCTGAAAATGATTAATGCGCGAGTTATTTGAAGAGATTTGAATGTATAGAAAATATAGAATGTAAAAAATTTTGTTTATTCTCTTATTTTTCATATTAATCAGAGACTAATTATATGCTAACTATGCATAATTATTTTTTTCAAATTACTTGCAAATCGCCGAGGTTCTGCAGGTTCTTTTCGACGTCGGCGTTGATTGTCTCGGTGTCGGTAGCTATTGTCCGATCACGTTTGCCCTTAATGTAATTCTTCATGTACCGCCTGAGCATGGTAATCTCCAGCTGCTGATTTCTAATAACATTGTCCTTCTCGCAGAGCATCTGTCTGATTGACTTTTGCTCCTGCTTGAGTCGCGCCTCCAGGTACAACAGCGCCCGCAATATCCTCGAGAGCTGCTGATCCCGCAGAATCTTTTCAGACTCATGACCGGTGATACGGTGATCAAGTTCCTTCACCAGTTCTCGACATTTCTTCGTGGCGGCCTTTAGAGCGTCCTGCGTGCGCGCCAGTTCCTGCTTGAGCGTCCGGACCTCGGTTTCCATCTTTAAAACACGAATTAAAAAACATTTCACACGAGTACAGAAAATCTCTGCGCATACGTTAAGGATTATCACTATAATATCGAACTTTAATAAATATTCTTCGATTAATATGAAGCGTCGATCTTTTCCTCATGAAAATATTGGACAATTAAATAATTTCTATTTTATAGATATAAATTAAGTATTACAAAAAGAATTATATTTATATCAAACACTAATAAAATTAATTTTCCTTTTTTTTCTAAAAGATTTTTCTTTTTCTAAATTTCTACGTCGTTCTTTTAAGATAAACGGTTTTGCTCAATGCAAATTGCAACGAGATATTATTCATCATGCATTGCAGGCATGAAGGATGAATGCTGTCAACATCTGCGCAAAATCGATGAACAATGCCAGCTTCGGCCTTGCTTCTCGTGAACGAAAGAGGAAGAGTCTCGGCTGAACTGACTCGAAGAAAAAGAGACGTCCGCGTTCGTTCGTCCAGATGCAAATGGGGTCTGAGATCGGACCGACTCCAAAACCGGAAGGACTTGACCTGGCCACGGAGAACCGGTAAATCGTGGTTCGCCGTCGTTTCATCGAACGACGGCGATTCATTGTTAGGTAAACACTTTTCAACTTGACGCCTTGACTGCCCAAAAGTAAGAGACGTTTACATTTTGGGTCATGCACGATACGACGTACAGCGAGTCCCATTGTTGCGCCAGCATCAGTTAATGAGATTCTTTGGCGAATGATCCGAATGATGATTTAATCAAAGGATTTAAGTGATTTAAAATTCAAAAATGTTAGCACAGATAGTTGAAAATAAAGTTAATATATATATACATATACGCGCGAGATTATAAATTTATTTTTGGAATCTAGATCTCTCTCTCTGTTTCTCCATTTTTATTTTTTTCTCTCTTTTTTTCTCGTCTTCCCAGATAATTTATGATTTGAGATTTCAGCCTCTGTGTATGCATAACGAATTAATTTTTTCCATAAAAGAAAACTATAAAGCAACGATTCGCACGATATTAGTAGAATAAAAATTTATATCTAATCAATAAGCTCGTTTGAATGTAAATTAAAATTTAAAAAATCTTTCTAAGAGCAAAGAATCAAAAAATTATATTTAATATTATTAAATTATATTTGTATCTTATTTTTCTTGTCACGTTTTTAAAATTTTGTGTCCTTCGAAAAAGTATTCTCGAGAGAACTCACGGTTCCGCGATTTCCGTTTACGCGGCAAAATTTACTTTTTAGAAAAGGAAATCGCGAAGCGGCACTTTCCGCTAGTCGCGATTTAAAGCAGCCGACGATATAACGGCGATGCGGCTAAAGTGCAAGCCGCAATTACGCGTGGTTTATTCGTGGCTCGATGCACGCGCCTCTTTTTCCCGCTTTACATTGGATTACGGATATAATATATCGACTGGAACATAACGAGACACATTCCCCCATCTCCCGCGAATCCCCTGGTACATAACTCGTTCGATGTTTAGCGTCCTTAAATCGATAAGCCGTAGTTGCATCTAATTAAATCGCGAGATGTTAATCGCATCACAAGGAGAAGAACGAGACCGTGTCTCCTCAATTAACAAACGAGCATGCAATTTTTAGACGAGTAAACCGCGTCTCTGTGCAATCTTTGATACACGCCAATCTAAAAATTACGCTAATCCAAGCTCTATATTGCGGTGTTTCAGCATAATCTGTCTATTTTTTAACTGTTTCTATCTCCGGATATTCACGTGTAAGACCTATTTTCTTTTTTTTTTTATCGAAACAAAGGCCTTTCTCTGAGAATATAAATCTTAATATATACCGACCTATATGATTTTTTATCCGGATTAATTAATCTCGGCATGGCAGAAGTCTTTCCCGTATCGCCAGCCTCGCATTCTTCACGCGGAGGCGAAACAATCGCGCGAGCTCGAAATACCTGTGCTCGCTGAAGGAGAACGCTAACGGGAGGAACCTGCGCGAGGATCCTTCCGTGAAATTCTTAAGAAGCTCCGCCGCGAACCGGCCGGGATTACAAGGTTACCGAGTCATCGGGACGGGAGTTTCTCAGGCTGTTGGCGCTGACCATAAATTATACGCCCCTGGCTACAAGAGAGATGAACAGAATGCTACGGGAATCTCGCGAGAGGATTTTTTTAAATACACGTGAAATAAAAGTGAAACGAGTAAATATGTATGAATGAAAATAATTATTTTTTTTACACAACAAAATTTTGTGATTTTATAAATTATGTATTCCGGAAAATTGTGAATTTGGAAAGGTTTCACATAGATATATGTGAAACCTTTCCAAATATGTGTAAGTAGTCTATGACTCTTGCATGCATTATAAATAAGGAAGCATAGAAGAAATTCTCTTAAACATGTCAACATGTAACACATAGCATAAAAATGTATAATAAAAATTTATATTAAATTTTAGTAGTATCCGCGATTATATTTTTATCAGATATTTAATGGAACTATAAATGTTATTCTATTACGATTTAATAATAAAATCTATTTCACAGCGACCAAATAAAATTTCATATCTATAATGAAAAGATTTTCTTTTTTATTTTAAATTTAACGCAAGATGGTTTTATTACACGATATATTATAGTTGATATGTGTGATGCTATAAAACTGAAGAAGTTCTGAATATTCTCTACATTAACTCTGCATAGAAACCATAAACTTTGATTTGCTTCTCCCAAGCTAAAAATTTAATCTTAACATTTATCTATAAAGTTTCATCGGCATATATTTCTAAAGAAAACAAGTAATATAAATAATAATTAATAATCATTACTCGACGTCGGTCATTAATCCCTCGCGACAATTCAGCTACGATAATGACCGTGAAAAGCTCACGCTGATGCAAGAGCTCCTTGAAGAGGAGGCACTCGTAAACAGGAAGAACGTCGACTGCACGGCAGGAAGACAAGTGTGACACAACGACACGCGAACTTGTTTCATCTTTCAATGTCGTAGCGAGAGGAAAGGTAAGCCTTCCGCTTGTCTTCCAGATTCTTATCGTCCTTTCCACGCCCACGAATCAGATTGCGACCTTACGAAAATTCACGAGCCCGTTAGTATAATATAATACGTATCGAAAAAAAGTGTGCTGCGCGACTTTCTCCGTTCCCCGAGCAACGGGTTTTTCGGTTGACGGTGCACACGATTGGAGGTCAAGCGAGTCGACTCCAAGACAGATCGGGGGTCGGTACAGTTATCCGCCTTTGTGCGATCGAGGCGAGAGATCTCGCGATCGATCTCGGCCGCCGATCGGTTCCGGACCCGCCGAGTGATAACGGCATAGATGAAGAGGACGGATGTAGGTACTGGAGGAGAGACGCTCGCTAAAGAGTACGGAGGATCCGGCGCAATCTCTGCTCCGGACAAGCGGTTCGCCATTGACGTCACGCTTCGGTGTCGCGCGCGCGGCATCCGATGAATGAAAAGAGAGAGAGAGAGAGAGAGAATGCACTTTCTCTGGCACGTTACATGCAGACTGCATTTGTTGCGCACGTCGCAACAGCTGCAACACACTCGCATTGTTTTGCTCGCGAATACCGGCACCATATGCAATTCCCTCCCGCTCGGAGTTGACTGCGAAACGTACAAAGACCAGCCAGGTGTCGTCGTCGAATGATGGTCTCCGTCAAAAGAGACGGTGTATATGTCAGATTTTTATTAATTATCCGACTAATGAATTAATCGATGAAATCATTTGCTTTTAAATCCACATTTTTAAAAGAAAATTATAAAGATTACAATGTTACAATGTTCCAAAAAATTCGCAACAAGCTCTATCGTCTTATAAAATGAAAGTTTACATAACGCATAGTTCGGAAATATATCTACGATATATTTATATTAAACTTGTAGATCGATTCTAAGTGCATTCAATTTCTTATCTTGGAAATATTTTAAGCTGTATATATACATATATTTTACTAATTCTTTTCGTTCTTAAAGTGAACGAGTCTTTACCTTCTGAAATTCCTTCTCTTCGCACTATCTTAGGACACTTCTACACACTGTACTTGTATGAACCTGAAGAATTTTACATCGCTCTCGATGACGCACACCACAACGGCGCGGCCGAATTTCACCTGGCCGCGCGGCAGCATTCCGCGTGCTCCGGGCTCTTGTCTCAGGCCCCTCGGGGCCCGGCGAATCCCGATTAATTTTACCGAGATGTCGTGGGCCCGTGTGTTCGCGCGAGCGCGTTTCACATCTCGGATATACGCGGAATAAACGCGTACGAAGAAAAAATCCTGAATTTGAAGAACGAGCTCGCGAAGAAGACACCCGAGAGGAATTTGACGAAGCGCAAGGCACTCACGGACAAGACGAGTTTAGACCACGGACTGACTCCGACTGGTCGGCGAACACTCGATGGCTCGATGGTTCGCCGTCGAGCCAGCAGCGAACGGTGGAGAAGGGAGACTATTGCCATTCAGGCTCGGATTTTCAAAGCCAGAGCTCAAAACACGATACAAAAGTATGTAAAAGAACTTACGACAATGCTGTTATTTATGTAGATGATAGAGACGAGAAGTTATTTTGCTATCATTTTCACATTGCGAAAAGAATTAAATTATTGTAAGCAAATACAATAAAAGCAATTTGGCAAAATCAAGGCATATAAGATATAAAACTAAATATATAAAGTAAAATTAAATTACACAAATATTTAATTATACATACACGAGTTATGAAATATAAGACTAAATTATAGAAATTATTTTAAATTATTCGACATTATCGCACAAACATTTTCTTCTCGTATTACATTTCGCGGAATATTTCGACTGTATTCCGTTGAGAATCGAGAAATTAAACGTTAATTGACAAATCCAGCCCTGGACCAAGTTGGCAGGCGGGAAGAAAAGAGAAAGTAAGAAAAGCAGGTATGGAGCGAAGGAAAGAAAGAGATGCAAAGTCTGCCCCACGTAGTGCGAGTGTCGTGTGTGTGTGCGTCTTACACGGTCGGCCCATCG